AAAATTTCTAGAGGCTAATAGAAACAAAATTTGAGAAAACCGAGTGTCATAGATCCAGTCCATTCGATCCAACAATTTAAATAAAATGCTAATTTCTTAAAAAAAATTATAGTATATTTTGGGATGAAATTTAGGACCTACTCGTCATTGTTAAAATTGCTCATTAAAGTCATTTATTGATAATTCATTAAATCCCATTTATTGATTTAGTCATCATTTACTTCTATACTTTTTATCATTAATAATTTAACTACTAAATTAAGTAGTTATCTACTAGAACCTCCATTTTACTTTAAGTTAATTCCTTTATTAAATAAATTAACTCCTTTAGGCCATTCCTACTAATTAAATGACCAATCAATTTATTAAATTAACTTATAGCACAACACTTAACATAATACTTTTAACAAGAATTCAAACCACGTAATTTATTATCATAAATCAAAATTAGTTAACCTAACATCAAGATACGTAACAATAAATTATTTTAAGTGAATGTAATTTTTCTTACACTTTTTACTTTGTAAGCACACATATGGCAAGTCTTTGATATTTCTCATTGATGGTCCTTATTCCTATTTCTTTTCTTCTAAATCATAAGAAAGAAAGGTGAGCGAGTGCTTAGTACGTGTAATCAATACAATGCATATAATATTCATCATGCATGTAATGCACATGATGCATTTGAAAACCATTTTAATGTCTTTTAAAATTCATTTTTCTTTATGAGCATACCAAGTTATGTACATAGTCGGGCCTCTTTGCAAAGCATATAATCATGAAAACTTCACAAAAGCACTAGGCACCTTCCTAATACATTTTTCTTTTCTTTTTTCTTATTCGTCATAAAAGGGTAACCATTCCACTCCCAAAACCTCAAGAAGGTACCTAGCCATTCCTTTTTGAAAATTTTTTCTTTTCCTCTTATTTTAATTAAAATCATGAAAGTAAAACCTCTTTCATGATTATGATATGAAAATACATTTAATTAAAAATTCAATGTAGCATTGTAAACCGCAACATGCATACATTGAAATCTCAAGAACATATAACATAAATAATAAATCAAATACATGTTCCATAACATTAAAGGGTGCATGAAAATCTTGTATGAATATTTAAACATAAACAATGAAATATGAAAAATCTTTGGCTGAATTTATCAAGCAACATAATTAATCAATTTTGTCGACATTGAGCACCGTGAGGGGGAACGAACAAAGAGTTGACACATACCTAATCGAGGAGAACTAGGAAACCCTAAATATACTCGGTTTACATGGATAACTCGGGTAAAAAATCGGTTACCTACGGGGAAGATATGACATCATCGTCATCCCGTCCTACCTAAGGTAGGTCGCATTGTTTGCCTATGAGCATAAAAATCTAGTTTTACAATGTTATGCCACTATGCCTATTTGAACGAATTTATTTTTTAAAAAATATAAAATAGAGTAGTTCGGATGTAACACAGGATATTTTGGGAGTTTAGGCCGATCTAAAGCCAATACTCCCCGCACAAAGAGGAAAGGTAGGGGAGGTTGGAATTTTGACTAGTCATTAAGGAGCACGACCTATTATTAAAAAGTAAGTGTGTTTTTAAAGATAGATAGCCTTTTTTTGCATAAGCGGCAAGTCACCGACGCCTTCCCTCACACAATTGAGAATCCACCAACGATTTTGAGTCGTGGGTGCAAGAAGTTACCGATAACTTTGTTGTAGGTATGAAAAGTCACCGACAACTTCATGTCACTTAAGCGAGAAGCAATTGAGTGTTTTAGAAGTTGTTAGCGGCTTCATCACATTAGTGAGAAGTCATTGATAGTTTTCTTACCAACAAGCAAATATTAAATAAAAAATATTTTGAAACCCTCGATGGCTTTGTCAAATAAATAGAAATCTATCGATAACTTCATTTTGATGAAATAAGCGATAAAAAATAGAAAATAGGAATCGGGGAAAAAATTTTAAAAAACGAAATTAGGAATTAGCCAAAATGATTTCGATACCATCGATAGCTTCATCACATAAGTGAGAAGCTACCGATAACTTTTTTATAAAGAAATAAGTAATAAAAATTGAAAAGAAGAAAAAGGGATAGAAAAAAGAGAGGAAAAATAAGAAATATAAAACTAGAATCGGGTATAAAAGCCGATAAAATGATTTTAAAACCATCTAAGTGGCTTTATCATATAAGTGGGACGCCACCAATAACTTTATTTTGATGAAATAAGCAATAGAAAGATAAAAAAATTAAAAACAAGAATAAAAAACAAAAATATGAAATAGGAAATAGAGATCGAAAACATAAAAAATCATTCCAAAAACTATTAGCAACTTTAGTTTCGCATTACGACAAGGCACGATTAATCAATCAAGCACAACAACAAACATAGACTTCTCATTTAGACATGTTGGTGTAAAGAAGTGAAATAGCAAAGTTTGTCCAAAATGGATAATTACAAGACTATTTGTTTCAACCATCTTTAATTTTGGAATGCTTAACCTAAATGTCATATTTTCATTCACATTTCAAGAAACCTAGTAATTTTTAACTTTTATTATATTACAAAATTATAGTAGTTTTAGAATTTTTTATCCAAAAATCTTGTAATTCTAATGTCTGATTTGGAGTTAGTCTTACTCTCTTCATTCCTAAGACAATCGAATATTCAATTACATGAGAAAAGAGAGCAACTACTTCGGTAATGTATGGTGCGGATCCTAGCGAGTGTGACCAAAAACTCCATTAAATATTGACCGGATGGTTGAGGACACAACTATTACAAAAGTTACTACTAAGTTTCCTAAAACTTGAAGAGGCCTTTACTGTTATATCTCATATCAAAACACACAAATAATTCCACAATAAGTTTTATTCTTTATGCTATCTTTTTTTAAAAAAAAGGGTCGGCTTCTATTGGGTCAAGAGGAGAGGACAATGCTAGTGTCGATGCCGAAGATCCAATCATTTTTGGATGAGCTTGAGTTAATATATTATTGTATTATTCATTCAATAAAAATAAAGAACTCATTCTATTAATTCTTACGCTCTATGTTTGTATATTCGAGTACAATTAGATAGAAGTTCATATGACATGCATTTGCAATAGTGATTGATATAAAGTTATGAGACAAATACTAATGCATATAAATGGTTATCATTAAACGTCCGAAGCCATAGCATTGTCAAGAATGGACACTAACTATATACGAACGGACTTTTTAGTGTTATGCTCATGCTATATGATAGCAATAGGAGATCTCACACCTATTGGCATAGTAATGCCAAAGGAAGCACTTAGCCGAGTCATGTTAGAGAACATATCACTAGACATGACTTACCATGAGAACCTATTTGGTTTTATTCTATGAGAATCTCATATGAGATAGATACAAATGATCCTTAGACATGAAGCCATCATGTTGTCTCATTAGAGGACTTATGCACTTTGACACTCATTTCAATGGACCCATTAAAGGGTTACACGTGAGCGATTCGTTGAGTGCATTAGGAATCTAATGGAGGCGAGTATATAACTAAAATAAGACATGTTATTCCTTATATGCTAAAAGAGTTATCACATTACATTTTGATAAATGTCTCCTTAAGAAATCTATGGCCATAGTAGGAGTACACTAATAGACCATAGTTGGTTTACTCTAAGAGCAAAGATATTTTTGAATCAAAGAAAACTTATGTGATCATAATCAAGCAAGACTTATAACCAAGTTCGAGATCACACTGTGATTAGTTGACAAGAGGACTGGATTGTATGGTAACTATGCTCATGAAAGGTAACAATGGATTAACTAATCCTCCTAGTGAATTGGGTAGTCATGATGCCTTACTAGAGGCCAATGTTGATTTATGTATCAAGAGATAAAAGAGGAGTCATTTGTTCTTGATGCATTGTCAACATATCTAGGAGCCTATTAAGTCACACACATAAGTTTAAGTGTTCACATTATAAATTAGAAACAAAGATATTGAAAAACATTTCCAATTACGAAGGTTTCTGTTTTGGAAAGGGTTTCCAAAATGGAAAGTTTCCTTAAATGGAAAGTTTCCTTAACTATGAAATCATTCTCCTAATTTGGAAGTAAAAAACCAAAAATAAAAATTGATTTTCTAATTTAGGTTTAAAGGTATTTTGAAAATTTAATTCCCAATGTGGACTTGCCTAAAATAATCTAAGATTATTTATTTGGATAGTCCAAATAAATTAATTAGGCTAAAATAGTTTTGGCCCATTAGGTTTAATTAAAAGCCTTAAGATATTTTGGTGGGAGGATAAATATCAACCTTATTCGATAAGGATGAATTTTTTAAAGATAATGATTAAAAGTCTACATGTAAAATAAATCCTCATCCTTTAAGGACAAGGAAGAAATAACCTAGAGTCCTAAAAGGGACTTAATGCCACCCCTCTCCTTACCCCTGGAGGACAAGGAAAATTTTCTCTTATATATTGAAGGAGAGTTGTGGCATAAAGGATGATGAAAAGAGAGAGTGTATTCGACCAAAAATAAAAAAAATGGGAGGAAAGACTAATTTTAGCCATCCCTAAAAATAAAATAAGACATTCGACCAAGAGAGAAAAATAGAAAAAAATAGTTTTCTCCTAAACCCTAGCAAGTTATACTCTTTCTTTATCCTTTAAGGTTGTCATAAAATTGCTCGAAATTGATTTCGGTAGGAAATACTAAATTAGAAAAGGTAGAGCTAGCTCCCTATTAATTTTGAGTGCTTCTTTATGGATACATGGACTGCATAGATCATCAATATAGAGCTGGACACTTAGATGACTCGTTTAAAAAGAATTTAGATCGGTGTTACAAGAGGTAATCCTTGATCCTTGTTTTAAATTCATGCATGTATAGTTAGTAAATTCAACGACTTGATCTTTGGCCCTAAGATTGAGAAAAAATTTTTTATTTATTCCGCACCTCCATAGGATGTATTATCCTTCGGACAAGGGCTGACTATTGTTAATTAGTTGTGAGAGGATCCTAAAGGTGCTAACGTGTAAGGGTTATAGTGTATGGCCTAGCTCTGAATACGGGGTTGCTTGTGGAAGCATGTTTGGCATTTGGGTCTTAGAGTGGGGGATAGGGGCTAGTGTAGGTGTAAGGGGCTTGGCATCGAGGGCTAATAACCATGTCTTAAGGTTGGAGAGACCGGCTATTATTGTGTGTTTCGGGGCTAGAGATACTGGTTGTTATGATGGGTTTGAAGGTTGGAGTTAGGGGCTGAAAGACGTGTTTCTAAGTTAGAGATGTTGGTTTTAGGCCTAGAGTTGAGGGGCTATTAGACGTATTTTAGGCTTGGAGATGCTAGCTATTAAGTTAGGTTTTAAGGTCATGTTAAGCAGGGGATGCATGTGTAGGGGTCCCCGGCGAGTGGGAGAGGAGTTGCATCTTAGGTTTTCTAGCATACGGGATCGAAGGATTGGAAGGGCTGGAGTACGAAGGAGGGTTAGAGTGACCTATGGTGTGTTGAGGGTCGGAGATGCAAGGTCGTCAAGATTGGTGGTACGTGACTATTTTTTTTAGAGAGATGAATAGTAGCTTTTGTTAAGGATGGATGTGGGGAGGAAGATGAGTTTTTGTATGGTGGTTATGGTTGTTTTTATCAAGGAAAGAAATGAAGAAAATGGGCGACTATAGAGGAAATTTTTTGGGTGAGGGAGAAAGAGGATGGTCTCGACTAGAAGCGTTTTTGTGATGGTGATGGTGAGAAGTGGATACTACCAAAAAATGCATGGGATGGATTTTATATGTAGGGTTTTATTGGTAAATATTTAATTTGATCCTTGACTCTCTTCCATCTATCAATTTGAGTTTAATCCCGATATTCTTGCTTCAATTGCCCCTTGAAATCTCAATTAATTGGGACTTTTCTTCTAATTTCTTCCATTTGTGTCCCTTTTTTGTTTTAATTAAAGAATAAAATTTTTTTATTTTTTTATTGAACCCTCAATTTTTCTTTTTATCGATTCTAAAATTTTCATTTTCCTTAGTTAGCTCCCCCTCCCCCAATGTTTTTTTTTAAATTAATCCTAAGTTAATTATTTCAATTGGCTTTTTTTCTCTTTTGTTTTAGCTTGGCATTTTTTTCTTTACCATTTTTTTCTATTTCTCATTTTCATTTTTAATTTTTCATTTATTTTTATTTTTTTAATGATTTTGCAACAAAAACAAAAACGAAGTAAAGCCAATAAAGGCGAAAAATTGGGTGATAGCGATTGCCTCTTTTTACCATGCTTTCATTACAAAGTTATTGAAAGTTTGTTCTTTGACTTTATATAGAAGGCTTCATAAAGGAAAAAAAATAGAAATGAGGGCATACGGTGCAAACTATGACCAAACCTAGATAAGAAAAAATAATTGTTGAACTTAAATGACTTTTGACCATTCAACGAGGTGTTATCGACCACTAATTTTGTGATATGATAGACCATTTTAACCTACCCGGACTTGATAAACCACTCTAACTTTACAAGACATGATAGACTACTATGACCTTACATGATATGACAGACCACTTCGACTTAGAGGAACATGATAGACCATGTGGACTTTTTAAGACGTGATAGATCACTCGACCATATGGTATATGGCAAACAACTTTGACTTTGTAAAACATGATAGACCACTAACCTTGCAGGACATGATAGATCACTTTGACTTGGTAAGATGTGACGGACCACTCTAACCTTGCAGGATGTGACAAACCACTTTGACCTTATAGTATGTGACATACCACTCTAATCTCGCAAGACGTGATAAAGCACTCGATCTTGTAGGATGTGATAGACCACTTTGACTTTGCAAGACTTGATAGACCATTTTGAACTTGTAAGATGTGAAAGGCCATTTTGACATTACAAGACATGATAGACCACTCTAACCTTATAAGATGTCATAAACCACTTTGATTTTGCAAGATCTAACGGACCACTCGACCTTGCGGGTTAGGATAGACAACTTTGATGTGATAGATAATATTAGCTTGAATGGACATGACAAAGCATCTCTATTTAGAATGATGTGACATACCATGTTGACTTTGTGGGAAAATGATAGACCATGTCGGTTTGCATGGACATGATAGATCATGTTGACTTGGCTAAGGACTTGATAGACCATGTCTATTTAGAATGACGTGATCGACCAAGTTGACTTAGAAAGGACATGACAAACCATGTCCGTTAGGAATGACGTAACGGACTATGTTGACTTGAAAAAGACATGACAAACTTTATCTATTTGGAATGATGTGCTAGACCACATTGACTTTGACAAGATACAATTAATTGTTCTTACTTGGATTAATGTGCCAAAGCACATTGGTTTTAAAGGGTATGACATACCTTTTTTTTACTAGGCACGATAGACCACTTTGACTTGAATTATCATGATAGACCACATTGGTTTAAAACAGTCGTGATAGACCATGATTTGTTTTTACAAGGTGTGACGGACCACTTCGACTTAAACTAATGTGAATGACCACATTGGTTTAAAAAAGGTTGGATACAATATGATTTTTTTGGCTAGCATGACGGACCATGCTTTTTGTATGATAAGACATGACGGACTACTTTGATTTAGACTGATGTGACGGACATATTGGTTTAGAAGGATATGATAGGTCATGTTTTGTAACAAGATATGACTGACTATTCGACTTAAGCCGATGTGCCAAACTACATTGGTTTTAAAGGATATGATAGACCATGTTTTCTCACAAGATATGATTGACTATTTAGGCTTACACCGACATGACAAACCATATAATCTCAACCGACGTGACGGACCAAGTTTTTTTGACAAGATATGACTGACTATTCTAACTTAGATTGACATGACAGATTACATTAGTTTTAATTGACATGCTTGACCAAGTTTTTTTTCAACAAGTTATGATTGATCATTCTAACTTAAACTAAAATGATAGACCATATTGGTTTTAACTAACATGGCGAGACTAGGTTTTTTAACATGATATTACTAACCATTCGACTCGGATTGACGTGACATACTACATATGTTTAGGAAGACACGACATGCCATTTTTTTAATTGTATGTGACCAACCATTTGGTATAGACTAATCTGAAGTTTTATAGAAGCGTAGGTTGTCACCGCCAAGACATTTTTCCCCTTTTTTATCTACATTTATGTGTCATCCGGCTCATATAATTTCAAAGTTCTACGCCAATTTGCTTTTATTGTTCTTGTCTTATTACATTTTCAATTATGCCCTCTATTCTAGTATTCAATGAAAGTTATTGCTCGACTACTACCAATGTCATTTAAGTGGTGCCTACTCTTATGAATGAACAAGTGATCATTGTTTTTGTGCCCGTCCTTTGGTACGGCCCTAAATATTTGACTTTTTCCAACCATATTTCAAGAATCCGGCCTAAAATGGTTAAGGCAACTTTTTGTCTCAATTGTCTATAACTTATCATAAAAAACCTTAGAACAAATTTTATATAGGCAAACCTTTTGTAAACAAAGTCCAAGTAAAATCTTTATCTAGTTATCTTATGCCAATTTAATATATTATCACATTTCATGAATGATAGAAATAACATGATCATGCACGAGACCAAAGAAAACATTTTTTTAGGATCGATCATATTTGTGAGAACAAGGGTTTTTTTAGAGGCAAAAGATCATAAATCGGATCACATTAGGCAAGTCAAAAAAAAAAAAAGGAGAAAAATGAAATAATTGCACTATTGAATATTTAGCCATAACTCAAATTATCTCCTTCTTGTTCTAGATGTAAGAGAAGTTGAAATGTTAGTCTTCTAATGCCGACACATATTTCTCACAAGTCCGATATAGCATCTTTCTAAAGCATTAGTAGCAATCATCCCTTTGTCATCTACCTTTCAATGTTGTTACACATGTCATTCATCTTATTTTGAGGTTTGTGTTTGATTTTGTAAACTTGTCTTGGAGAGAATTTTTGTTTTTTGAATTTTTTAAAAATCATCTTCATTTGTTGTGGCTTTCATGGATCGGGTTGTCTATTTGAAAATTTTACATCAAGGCAAGTTGAATTGCTTAAAAGAAATCATTAAGATGTTTAAAATAAAGTAATCTCATTCAAAAGATGTTTGACTTATTTGATGAAAAGTCAAAATGCATCATGCAATGCCAAGATGTAATTTTCACGGTGATCCATTTTGGTGTTAATGTTGGTGCCCAAGAACCAACCATTTTTAGATGGGCTTATGTTAATGTAGTATTGCATCATTTATTTTAATAATAACAAAGAATTTATTCTATTAATTCTTATGTTTATATATTGATAAATTTAGTAAAATTAGTGAGAAGTCCTTATGATATACATTTGCAATAGTTATTGATCAAAAGATGTAAAACATATACTAATGCATACAAATGATATCATTAAGCATCCCAAGTTGTAGTATTGTTAAGAATGGACATTGACAATATACGGATAGACTTGTGAGTGCTATGCTCATGCTAGATGATAGCAGTAGGAGATCTCACACCTATTCGTATGGTGATGCCAAAGCAAGCATTTAGGTGATTTATGTTAGAGAATATATCATTAGACTTAACTCACCATGAGAACCCATTTTGTTTCTATCTATTAGAATCACATACGAGATGGGTACAAATGGTCCTTATACTTGAATTCATAATGGGTTACACGTGGATTATTCGTTGGGTGCACTAGAAATCCAATGAAGGTAGGTGTACGACTAAGATAGGACATGTCATTCTATATATGTTAAAGGAGTTATGTTATTACACTTTGATAAATTTCTACTCGAAAAATTTATGGTCAAAGTAGGAGTACACCAATAGGGCATAGTTGGTCTACTCTAAGAGCTATGACATTTGAGAATCGAACAAAACTTACGTGATCATAATTGAACAAGACTAATAACTAAGTTTGATATCACATTGTGATAAGTTCATATAAGGATTGAATTGTATGGTAACCATGTTCGTGGAAGGTCATAATGGATTACCTAATCCTCTTAGAGAATTGGGTAGTTATGACGCCTTGCTAGAGGCCAATATTGATTTATGTATCAAGAGATAAAGAGGAGTCTTTTATTCTTAATACATTGCTAACATATCTAGGAGTCTATTAAGTCATATGCATAATTTTAAGTATTCATATTATAAATGAGAAGCAAAGATATTGGAAAAAAGTTTTCAATCGTAGAAGTTTTCTAAAATGGAAAGTTTCTTTAATTGTGAAAGTTTTCAAAAATGAAAAGTTTTTTATTTTAGAAATTGATTTCCTGATTTTGGTTTAAGGGTATTTTGAGAAATTGTTTTTAAATGTGGACCCCACCAAAATAATCTCGGAATATTTATTTGGATAGTCCAAATAAATTAATTAGGATAAAATAGTTTTAGCCCATTAGGTTTAATTAAAAAGACTTAAAGTATTTGGGTGGGAGGATAAATATCAACTTTATTGCATCAAATTGAATATTTTAAAGATAATAATCAAATAGTCCACATATAAAATAACTCCTCATCCTTGAAGGATAAGGAAGTAATAACCTGGACTCTTAAAAAGACTTGTGGCTACCCCTCTCTTTGTCCATGGAGGACATGAAAACTCTCCCCCTATATATTGGAGGAGAGGTGCGGCATGGAGAA